GAATTTTTCTCTCTCTAAACCCACCTAAACCCAGCAAATACGTTTAGTAAATGTTAATATAATACAATGTTATGAAACCTTTCATTAATCATACTCCCTGTTCTTGTAGTAAATTTTAAGTGCTTCAGTCTCTTGCGATAATACTCAGACACTGTTCTTTAGATTTTATATCTCCTATCCTTCTGTAACATCACTGCACATACAATCATCCCGAAGTAGAACAAAAGCTTCATCCAAACGTGTCAATTGAAATATTATGATAAATTTGTAGCCAATATATATCTCAGCGTCAAACAGATCATCAGAATAACCTTCTATAAATCTTTCAATTATGCCGTATTGCATTCCCTCTGGTATCAACAACTAAATTAAAGTATATAAGTGATAATTATATATTATATATTGTTATTGGCCTATTTACCCTTATATTTTTATTTAGAAGCGAGGCAAACTTAGGCACATTTTTTGTCTTTGAAAATAACGACATTTCCAGATTTCTACTTAAAACTGCCTGTTCAAATTATTGTGATTCCCCAGTTAAAAGCGCAGGCAATTTTACACAGCCCTCATCCAAATCGATTTTTTCTTAGATAAACAAGTTGCGTTGGTAATTAATTTATCTCCTCAAGTTTAAATTTTTTCTCTTCTTTTGTGTTCTCTTGATTACATTAAACGTTTTTTTAAATACCGACCCTCGCAATCAAGTCCAGTAGACAAAGTGATCAAAAATAAGTAAAGCCCCTTTTACCACATATTCGCTTAACACAAAATTCTCCTACCGTAAACAAAATGTTAGTCCCGAAAACATAAAACATAAAATTCGGATAACACAATAATGTATTAAAGCGTATTTTTATAAACACGAACAACCCGGGTTTATATATATTACTATAGTATACACATATTATGTAATTCGTGCTACTGAAGAGTTATTGGCAACAAATTAATAATGATTACTATAAAAATTTAAACTCAGTTGGGTTAAAAAAAACGTGTTTTGCGATTCAATAAAATCCCACTGAATGAATATGAACACTTTGCTGAAATATTGACTATCTGTATATACAACACTTAAAATTATAGCAAAATAATGAGTTACACATGAAATTTAATCTCATAATTGTCTGCGCATTAATACCGACCAACCTTTTAAGTTTGAAAACTTAAATCATTCCGAGCCCATTGATAAGCCCTCTCCGTTAAATTGCTTGCCACCTTTTGAATCCAAAATCCACTGTAATAAATAGTACACTTCCTCGTTTGTGATCTATTTGACTGCTATTCAAAATAAATAGATACTCTCTCTTCCAATAGGAACCAGTGTTGCCAAGCAATGCCTCAGGGTCTTTTCTTATTTTTCTGAATTCATGAATCGAAACCATGAACCTCAATAATACTAATTTAAATAAATGGTAGTTCTTCGCATTTTTAATGCAGTGACGCTTCAAATTGCTATACACGAAAGGAATTTAACTATGAAATATTTCCAAAATCTTGATGTGTATTTCGTCGAAATTTCTGAATACCGAACATTTGCTTATCAAAGGTCCTATATCGTATTAGAGTGACGAAAATTCGTAGGGATTATTTTATCACGCTCTCTTATATATATATGTGAATAATAGTTAGAGCGTATAAACATTCAATGCGACTTTCCCATGTATGGTTTATATCTCTCGGCGACAACTTCCTATTTGAAATTTCAGATTAAATTAATTAAAAAGAAAATCCTACTGATGTATCCCAAAACCCCAACTCACCTGATTAAGAGAAACGCTAGAATTTATTAATTTATTTTTTAATTATTAATTATTATTATATATTATTATTTACACTTCTGATTAATTTTTATATAAGCAGTAAGTAAGACAAAACATCGTCTTCCCTACGTTCTTGATTATTCCGTACATGACATTATCAATAGCTTACGTTCTGATTAATTACTCGATTATGCTATACATGCCGCAATTTATCTTGAATAGTATTTGTTATTGCGCTCAATGAATACAGACTCTGATAGCAATATTGAGAATCTATTTATTTGTCTCCTCCGCCCTTAATTACAGGCTTTAAAACTTTTTAAAAATGGCTAGGGAGACCGAGAGTCGTTATTTTTCTTCTATAATTTCATAAGAAAATGAAGAAATTGGAATCATGGAACGATTGTTGCGAATAACAAAATCGAACAAAAATAATGTTCTTCGTCTAATAAGCATTGACTTCAATATTGAACACTAAAATAATATTACGTTTATCAAAATCTATTAGCGATCGATCTGGGTAGTATTTTAGTAATAATCACAATTTAATAAAATATCTCCAAAGAGTATTTAAAATGATTAACCCGCAGCATTAAGTATATATTCATAGTTCTTATAAATCCAGAATTAAATTATTACTGAACATTTGATAATACGTTTTAATTTTATAAAGAATGTATTTATAGTACCTTTGTTGAATCTTACTGCAATTTACAGTAATTAAGAGAAGATTGCAAAAAACATCCATTCGTTCTCCGCATTCAGCAGATCATTATATATACTTTGACAAATTATAAATGAAAAAATTATTACACTGCCCATTGAAATCTTAATCCACTTAACCAGTGGATTATTTGTGTGTCCGTATAGTCATGATCTGAAATATATTTGTGATGTGAAAAAGCTGACGCATGTTATGTTGACATCTCATAAATACCGCGCATACTACAACATAGCAAGTCGTAATCAATACAGTTGACCGTACATAAAACTCTCCAGCCATTCAAGTATAAGCATGAATGTAACGTTTGTAATGAGCCAAGCCGCAATGAGCGTCCAACAACAGCCGCGCCGAAAGAATGGTGCTGAGTGCCGTGCGTGTTGCAGCCCGGAGGCGGCCGCCTCGCGGCAGTGAGCGCGGCGGGCAATGAGCGCCGGGCCCCGGACCGCCGCGAGGCCGCGCGCCCCCGCTCCCGCCCCCGCCTCTCCCACCCACTCGTCACCTGCCCCGCCGCCACCGCCTCGCCGTCCTCTGTCCATTCCGCGCCCGCGCGCCGGCCCCGCCGCCCCCGCTCGGCGCTTTCCTGGCTCCGCTTGTGCTTCTCGGCGCGGTCGCGCCGGCGTGGGCGGGCCCGGGGCACCGCGGCGGCTTCGGGAGTCCGCGGAGTCGCGCGAGGCACGGGCGACCGCGGCGCGTGTGCGCGCCGTCTCCAACCCTTTCCTCAACGCGCTCGACGACCTGGCCCCCGGCGCCGCCGCCCTCCGCCCCCCCGCCCCGCAGCCACACACCCGCTCGCGCGCTGCGCGTCGATCGCTTGGACTTCCCGCCTCGCTCTCTTCATGAGCTATTCCGTCCCGACGCTACTCTCTCGCTCCTCCTGCTCCGTCCGCCGCCGCCGCCACCGCCCCCCGCCGCGCCCAACTATCTCTCTCTCTCCTATCTTACTCTCTCTCTTCTACCCTATATCTCTATCTCTCTCTTGCCGTCGACGCTGTCGCCGCCCTTGAGCTCTGGTCAACTGACGCTATGGGCTACTTCCGCCTGCCTCGTTTGCGCTGGCCAATCTCTATCGTATGCTTCATCTCTCTCATATCCTATATCTATGTTAGTCTCCTAACGTTTTTGCATTTAATTTATTATAAGGTCTTGCGATATTCTTTTAAGACTAGTATATCATTTTAATCCATTTCAAATCAGGATCCCTAACAAAAGTTCATTAAAATATATATTATATCTATACATGGCAAAAGTTTAAACATGCAATAATATTCACAAACTTCACAAAAAGTTATCATATATATCTATCTGATTATATTATATATATATCTCTCCCTATTTGCCCAAAAAGTAAGAAGAAAAAAAATAATAATATCTGACTGTCGAAGATTTGATGAAAAAATCTAATTATATTTTCTTTCATGCCAGCGAATCGGATCGAATATTCTCGACTTTATACCACACATTAACCCGACACCGATTAAAGAATGATTAATGTCGGAACACGTCATAATGCGGCTGTAAAATGCGTCTACGCCAACTGTACCACCAATCTTTCTCATCAACAGTGTGCGAAGCTTCCTCTTTAGCAGTGTCGTCTCGGAACGAGGCAGATAGAACAGCAGACGATGTCTCCCTCGCGAGCCGAGAGGATTTGCGGCGTCGCGTGGTCGCCCCGCGACACTGGTAGCGGAGCAAGCAGGTTCGGTGTGAAGCCGTCGAAGCGGTGGTGCGATCGTGCCCCGACCCCCCCAACCCCGCCCTCGCCCCCGCCCCCACCCGCAGCCGGCGCCGCGCCCCCGCCAGCACCGACGGTGGGCTTCG